GTTTTGCCCCAGTCTGTTAAGTCGACAGCCGAGTACTGGGAAAAAAAAAAAACGCGTTTCGGAATGTGACATGGAACCCTCTGGCAACAACAACAACAACAATCGGAATGTGACATAGAACCCGCTGGCGGCAACAACAACAACAACAACATCGTTTCTCGTGGTAAAAAGTAGAAGAGAACACGGATCGTAATGGGCAACCACGTGAAGCATTCCCTCGCACGTTGTCATGATGTCTGATGTCGAAGCTGCAGTTTGTGGCTACATTTTCCCTGTGTTATTTTTTACTCTCTCTCTCTCTGTCTCTCTCTCTGTCCTGCATGAATGGTGGAAACAAAGGGAACAGGAAAGGCAGAGCAGGCAGGAAAGAATAGAGGGATATCCCCTTACACAGTTCCCTCCTTCTACCTCAGGGATGGAGGGGATGAGAACAGTGGACAGTGGGTGCAGGGCAGTGGGAACTGGAAAAGTCAGACATGTGTCAGACAAGAGCACCCGCTATGGTTGGTGGTGACATTCAGATTAGCCCTCGTGGCCCAGATTACAGCGAGATCAGGACTAGAACATATTACACCAGTTTACGATCCAAACCACTGTGCGATGCCTTGGTCCTGTGGGCTTTGAACCACATTCAGCTCCATTTTAGGGGAAAAAAAGTACAGTTAGTAATTAACACAGCCTGTAATTAATAACACAGTGACAACCATGGGAAAGATGAGCCGAACTAAATTCAACTGAAAATCAAATATTGCCCATAAAGGGACGTCTGCTTCCTCAGAACACACTGTACTGCGTGTGGAAATTGTCCATCTAGCGGCCGTAACGGGAAATACAGGAGAGACAGCCAGACGAATCAGTCTTTGAAGAGTGATAGTGGAGTCTGTTTGTTAACTGATTATTTCCTCTGTGTTTTGTCTTTTCAAGGTGCCACCAGGGACATTGGCTCGGCTCTGACGAGGATGTGTATGCGACATCGCAGCATTGAAACAAAATTACGACATTTTACCAAGTAAGCTGTTTTTTTTTCTTTATTTCAAATATACTTTAAACAGGAACACATTTGTCCAAATAAGTCAATATTTCCATACAGTGGATAACTGTGACTATTAGGAACAGTAGGAATCTTCATGTTCCAGGCCCAGTGTGTGTTGGGTTATAACTGACTCTGGTTGTGCAGTTGTGGTCATATATCCCTCACCTTCTCATTTAAGTAGACAAAAATATGTCCTAGCCTTCAATTAGGGCAGTTAGTGGTTAAAGGATCAGGCTTAATATCATACGATTGCTGGTTTGAATCCCAGCCTTGGCCCCACCAAGACTGTACTGCCTGTCTGGTGTTAATTACTACAGACATGATGGTTAAGTGCTGAGAGTAAATACCTTACTGCAAAATAAATAATAAAAAATATATATTTTAATTTAAATGATTGTCTGTAAAACTTTTTGATTCAAATAATGCTCTCCACTAATGTGGGAAAAAAAGAAAAAAAAAGAATTGTGAACATTCCCTAAATTCACTGTAAAATAAGTAATACTGTAAATACTCCACACTCAAACACGTACTATTAAAAACAACAAATATTTGTCTCATGCATTTGTGTCATTAAAGTTGATTATTTCGGCCGGTCGTCTACCTCAAACCTCACTGTCTCATCATTTCCTTTGTCGCTGCAGTGCTTTAATGGAAGGCCTGGTTATGCCACTCCAGGAAAGGATGGAAGAGTGGAAGAAGACGGCCAATCAGCTGGACAAAGACCACGCCAAAGGTCTCAGTCCGGCACATATGCATTCTACTATCATAATCTTCGACAGTGTATTTGTGATATACTCTCTTTGTATTTCCATCCACAGAATACAAACGGTCTCGTCAGGAGATCAAGAGAAAGTCTCTAGACACCATCAAACTCCAGAAAAAAGCCAGAAAAGGTGAGAGTGTGTGGCAGTAACCATTTGACCTGTTATAAACCTCTACTCACATTTTAAGGTTGACATTAATAATACCTGCTTAACTCCCGGGGCCCCTGCTCTGTAACAGTTTCAGACTGAACTGGTGCCATCTAGAGTGTAAAACTATACATGACAACTTTAATCAAAAATAAATGCCCTGCACATTTTCAGAAGCTCCTTTCCTAGCTGCTGATGATTCATCGTCCTTCACCCTGTAAATCTAAAATAGCCTTCTTTCCTGGCTGAGCATGCGTCAGCTGCGAGTGCTGGTTGTAATTAATTATATGCATCCATGAATTACACCGGTGGTATGAGCTAGTCATTTTCAATGTGTCTTGATTTGATTCAGCTAACCCTACCTGTTCTTCTGTCTCTCCTTCTCTCGCCTGTCCCTGCACCCTTTTCTTCCTCCTCCTCCTCCTCCTCCTCCTCCTCTGAATTTTCCCCCTGGCTGCAGAGCTTCTGGGTATGTTTCCCATGCGCTTCACCCTAATTAGAGCTATTTACAGACATCATCTTCAAATTAACCTGCTGCCAAGAAAGTTCTGGCTTAATTAGCATATAGAAGAAAGGAAAATCTTCAGTGCACTCATTGCAAATATTCTAATACATTCATAAAAAGAAAAAAGAAAATATGAATCATGATCACATTGGTGAGCCTAACCAGGCATGATTAATTGTGATTAATCATGATTAATGACGATTATTCATGATTATTTAAGAAAATATCAACTTTTTTCAATATGACTTGAATAAACTAGGAACAGAAAGAGGAATAACAAAAGGCAGATGTATGGGTTTCACAGCTGTTTTACTCAGGACTGATCTAAATTATAGAATTATTAATATGAAATAAAGAACATGTAAAAATGTTAGGAAAATATTTGAAAGTATAAATCATAATTGAGTTTCAAATGTTTTGGTTTTTAGTCGTCACTGTTTATCTTAAGTGTTTTCCATATTTATAATTCCATCATTTGGATTAGTTCCAAATAAAAACAGCTGTCAAACAAGTACGTCAACTTGTTATTAATCTTCCTGTTCCAGCAACACAAAGAGTAAATATTTTTGTCTTCAAATATTTAGAAATGTTGATTCCTTTTTTGTCATTAATAATGATTAGTCATGCATAATAACTATGATTAATGATGATTTTGAACTTGGTAACCCTTTTTAAAATGCATTGAATCCAATAATTTATTAATGTACTTCAACGGTAATGTGTCAGAGAAAGGACAAAGAAAAATGATGAACCGGCGATTTGTTATATTTGCTGCTCAACGTTTTAATGCAGAAAATGAGTGTATAAAGCAATGTCCAAAGGCCTTGTTGCAGTTTCTAATAAAGTAGTGCGACAGTATCTAATGTAGAGCTGGAAGGTCGTTCATGTTCACCGCTGGTTTCTTCCCTCAGCTCTACCTGCGGAGATTTCCCCTGGTTCCCTTTTATTTTATTTTTTTTACAATACTGTGTTATTAACAGTGAAGTGTAACAGGTTTATATTCTTTATATTAAAAGTCAGTGTTTTTTTTAAACATCAGACATGCCTGCAGTAAAGTTCACTACGCAGTATCAAGCCATTTCATGTTGACAACAGCTGAGCTGATGATAATGCTACAGATTAGAGCCCAGAAAAGCACATGCAAATTTAGTTTTTTTATACCATTAGTCAAACCAGCTAATTATCCCAAGTAGAGCAGACCTTTTGACCGTTGCAACGTTGAGTCACTTATATTTGTAGATCATTATACTTGTCATTGCATATGTTAGGTTTGTCTGACCTTTTTAGTGTAACACCGTCGTTTTTGAATTACTTTTTGATGGAGTAAAACAGTGACATTTCTCTGAGTACCCCATCAGTGAGACGGTCTGTCATTGTCCTGGTTCCAGAACAATCTGGTCCCTGTCACATGGTGACATTTGGCCGTGTGATGACGGCAGCGTCGTACCAAAGCCTCCTGTTTTAAGGACCTATAAATGGGCAGGTTGTCAGCATCTAAAGGTCTCTCTGTTTAATTTGTACCAAAGTGAAGATCAGTGTACAGAGAGAATGGCCAATTAGAGTTACGTTTTAGCTGTTTATTCTTCAAATCAGTTAAAAACATTAAGTTTAATTAGCATTAAAAAAACAGTTGTAACCACAGCAGAAGGATAATCGATTTGGACAAGTTTGTCAATTAGCTTCTATATTTGGTTGAATTTCCTCCTTCCTTCTCCTTGTCTCTGCAATTGGCATCTACATTGTATCAGCTAAAAATGCAATAATAAAACTGAATAATCACAGGGTAGCTCTAGATTAATCACAAATAATCATGATTAATTGAATAACAGCAGTTAGATGTTTATGTATTTATTATTTATTACTATTTATGTATTTTATTTGTGGCGCTTTGGCCCAGAGGCAATGTCTCTGTCACTGGTGTGGAACCCCAGGGTTCACCTCCTGGGCAAGATC